GACTACTACTACTACTACTACTACTACTACTACTACTAATATTCGTACCAGTACGACTAATCTTGTTTTACATTCTCGCTGTTTTGTGTTTCCGGTGCTGAAGCACCGCCCAAGAGGCTCCCAGAACCCCTCCCAGACGGCCAAAGAGGCGCCCAAAACGGCCCCAAAACGGCCCAAGAGAGCCCCGAGGCGAACTGAACAATCAAGCTCTCCGCCCCAAGATGCCCCCAAGAGGCCCCAAGAGACCCCCAGGAAGCCCCCAAGAAACCCCAAAAGGCCCCCAAGAGGACTCAAGAGGCCCCCAAGATGCCCCAAAGAGGCTCCAAGAGGCCCCAAGACGGCACCAAAGAGGCTTCAAAATTCTGTCGAAGAGGCCTCCGAAAACACACATTCATAGACATATGTATATGTATACGCGTATACATGTGTATATATATATATATAATGTCACAATCCATATATATATATATATATACACATACACATATACATATACATAGCCCTGGACCGAGGCGGGGGGGGGGCCCGACGCGCCATGGGGGTGTCGGGGCGCTAGGGACGGTTCCAGACCGCCCAAGACAGCTCCAAAACAGATGAAAAGGGCCGCGAGATGCTTCCAGGAGGCCTATTATGCGAGAGGCCTCCAGGAGGCCTACTATCGCGGAGTTATCCTTCTAACATGCCCAAGATGGTCTCCGGATGGCCCGCACTCCCAAAATGGCCCCAAGAAGCCAAAATAACGGATTGTCATAATGTTTTTGGTACATTTGTGCGTTTTTGGGGCATCCTAACGCTCCAAGACGGCCCAAGAGGTTCCCAAGACCGCTCCACGATAGACGAAGAGGCCTCCGAAAGGGCCCCAAGACGGCCCTCGAGGCCCCAAGACGGTGTTCCAGGCGCCCAAGACGGCCCGAGAGGGCCCCAAGACGGTCCCAAGAGAGGCCCAAGAATGGAAACGCGAACCCAACAGCAGAGTCTTCCGCCGTAAGAGGCCCAGCGAAGGCCCCAAGAGTCCCCAAGTGGTCCGACGAGGCCCCCATAAGCATCCCAAGTGGCCCCAAAAGGCACCAAGGAGACGTACAAGGGGCCCCAAGATTGCACAACAGCGCCTTCGATGCATCAAAACTGTCTGCAGAAGGCCCCCAGGAGGCTTCTGGATTGCCTCAGTGTGGCCCCAGGCGCCCTCAAGTCGGGCCTCCACGCAGCCAAGACGGCCAATGACGGCTTCAGATTGCAGAACCTCACCTTCCGATTGCCCGGAGAACCCCGACGATGCTCCCAAGGGACCCCAAGACGCCCCAAAACGCCCCCCCAAGAAGCACCCAAGAGGTGCCTCCAACAGCTAATTTAGGAAGCACGGAAAACCCCCAGAAGCCTTTCAAATGCCCCCACGAAGACCCAAGAGGTCCCCAAGAGGCCCTCAGGAGGCACGACCATGTCACGCGCCTGCGCTTGATAGCGCTGTCCAAGATCTTCCAGCGCCCCCCCGGCCTGGGCTAGGACTTGAGCGCGCGCGCAGCGCGCGCGATGGTTCTAGTACAACGTATATTGCACCGCGTAGCTTGCACACGGCCGAGCGACTGTCCACTGTCACTTGGTGGTTCCGTGGTACTCGTTCTCTTTGTGTTGTCGTGTGTTTGTCGTCGTCACCCCTTGTCCCACCCGCGGCCCACCCCGCGACCCTTCCGCGATCCATCACGACTCACCCGCGACGCACCAGCGACCCACCCTCTTCGACCCAACCCGCGAGCCGCCAGCGACCCGCCCCGAGTCCCGTTTCGGACCCAGTGACCACAGCGTTTGCCAAAAACTCCCACGAAGGTGACGCTTGCGCAATTGTGCAAAGGCTTTGGGTCTTTCGGATTGGTTTGCAACCCGCCTGGCCGCCCCCAGGCAAGAGTCGGTGCTTGCGGCGGGCTGGTTTGCCTGGCTCCGCGGATCTCTACATGAACTCCCCGCCCAGGCAGTCGCCGACGACTCGCTCGGCGACCCATCCGTCATGCGATGCGTTCGTTGCAGGGCATCCCCCCGCTCTTATCCGCAACTGCCAGGCTCAAGGCGTTGTGTCGTCTCCAGTACCCCTCCCAAACCCATCTCTTCCTGAGGGCCTTTGGGAGCACGGAGCTGTGGTCATCGCGTGGGTCGGCATCCGTTGATTCACGACTTTCTTCTTGAGGCTACGGTTTCCACGTGATGCCCTGATGGGCACGGGCCGCCACCCTGCGCCGAGCGCGCACTCGGGCGCAATTTCATTTTTAAGATCATCCAGAGCTAATCTTAGCCATTTCCCTCCACGTTAATGTACAAACAGTGGCTTGTCCTCTTCGTTGTACTCTGTAGTCTTCATTACTCTATCGCTTCACTCATTCCTGTGCCCCATTGCATAATTGTTGCTCTGTCGGCTTGCTCGTGGCGGAGGAGGAGGAGAAGGAGGAGGAGGAGGAGGAGGAGGAGGAGGAGGAGGAGGGGGAGGCGGCCTCTCGCTAAAGCCTCAGGCTCTGTCCTCGAGTTAGCGCAACGTCAAAAAGGAGTCCTCTCGATGGTTTCTTGGGGCACTCTCGGGGCCAAAGTGGGTCTTGGACGAGACGTTTCTTTCAGAGGCTAATTGGATAATCTTGGGAGGCCTTTGAGGGGTCTCTTGGTGGTATTTTGGGACCTCATGGGGCTTCTTGGGAGCTGTTGGGGGAGTATTTCAGGCACCTGGAGTCTTTGGGGGGGCCTGCTGGCGGTCTCGGGGGCCAGCTTTGAGGGAAGGGCTCGACATGTCAGCTCGGCATCCCCTTCTGGGGACTCTCAGGAGCCTGTGGAACCCTGCTGGGGCGCCCTGGGACGTCCTGGGACACTCTTGGACTATCTTGGGTGGTCTCTGGGGGCCTCTTGGGCCGTTTTAGGTGTTTGGAAGCCCAAAAGGCGGTGACGCCAACATCCTTCAAAAACCTATGGAAAATCACTGAGTGCTCTCGGACGGTGAGGAAACAATCCTGGACGTCTTGAAGCGCTCTCGGGTCGTTTGGAGCCCTGTTGGGCTTTCCTGCAGGCGCCGTGGTGCGTTCCTGGAGCGCTCTTGGGGGCCTTGAAGGCCGCGCCCAGGAAGAGAGCCATCTCTGAACCGTGCCGGAGATCTGAAACCTGTTACCGGAGATCTGAAAGAGCGTGTTCTACCGCTGCTGGCGGAAAACCGGGGGGGGTCACTACTGGTTCGAACCCCTCCCCCCCCCCCCCCCTCCGGAAAACCGGGGGGGGTCACTACCGGTTCGAACCCCTCCCCCCCCCCAGTTCATCATGAAAAGGGGGGGGGTCACTACCGGTTTCCCCCCCCCCCCTCGGGGACCGGGGTGGGGACAATGGGGGGACAGTGGACAGTGGTGGGGACGGTGGTGGTGGGGACAGTGGTGTGGGGACAGTGGGAATGAGGTGGAAACAGTGGGACAGTGGAGGGTACAATGGTGGTGGGGACAGTGGTGAAGGCGGTGGCGAGGACGGCGGTGGGACAATGGGACAGAGGTACAGTGGGGACAGTGGTGGGGACAGTGGGGACAGTGGTGGGAACAGTGGGACAGCTCAGTGGGACAGCGGAGGAGTCAGTGGGGACAGTGGGGATAGTCGGGCAGTGGTTGGGTCCGTGGAGACAGTGGGGAGAGTGGAACCGTGGTGGGAACAGTGGTGGGAACAGTGGGGACAGTGCGACAGTGGTGGGGGCACTGGTGGGGACAGTAGGGACGGTGGTGGAACCAGTGGGGACAGTGGTGGTGAGGACAGTGGTGCTGGGAACAACAGTGGGATGTGATGTGGACGGTGGTAGGGACCGGGAGTCGTTTGCTGGCGGTGCGTGGGGGGAGGGGGGTCGAACCGGTAGTGACCCTCCTCCGGTTTTCGAGGGGGGAGGGGGGGTTCGAACCGGTAGTGACCCCCCCCGGTTTTCCAGATCCGGAGGGGGGGGGGGGGAGGGGTTCGAACCGGTAGTGACCCCCCCCGGTTTTCGAGGGGGAGGGGGGGGGGGGGGGTAGGGGAGGGGGGGTTTTGCCGGGGGGATGGAGGGGGGGGTCCAGCAGGTGGGGGGGATTTTCGGAGGGGGTCGGGGGCGACCCCCCGGCTCCGGAGGAAAAGGCTGGCAATTTTCCACAGTAAAGCGGCGGTGGATCACGCTCTCTCGGAGATCTGAGCACGCCTCTGGCCTGTTGGGCCAGCGAATTGTTCCTCTCGTCATCCCGTTGCTCCCACGCACCCCACCGCTCCCCACCCCTCGCTCCTTCCTCCAAATCCCACAGAGGAGTAGCAGGAGGAGAAGGAGAAAGGAGAGAGGAGGAGGAGGAGTTGGAGCGAGAAGGAGGAGGAGGTAGGAGGATGAGGAGTCGGGGCGAAGTACAGGTGGAGCAAAAGGGACATGGTCGGTCGGGGCTCAGCCGAGTGCTCATGCTGTCGAGGCAGTCCAGCGCGCCCCCCCAGCGCACAGGTCGCGGACCTCCTTCCTCTGTAAAATGGCTCAGACTACGTTCCTCCTCAAAGTCACGCAGCAACGAAAGACGACTGACGGGAGGAGAGGCTGGCGAAAGTGAGACGCGAAGGTGATAGCATTGGGCAGCCAAGGGGGGCCGCGGCTCGGTTCGCTTGGATTCGAGAATGCAGGCGGAAGGGGAGGTGACGGAGCAGCAGCAGGAGGAACAACATTCATTCTCCGCCTCTCTCCCACTGAGTCTCGTCCCCCCTTCCCCTCCTGCCCCTGGCCATTTGGGCCCCCCTCTTCCCTCCTCCCTCTTCTTCCTCCCTCGCTCCTCTCCCGCTTCTCCGTCTCCCTCGCTCGTCCTCCCTCCGCCTTCCCCTCCTCCCCTCCCTCCCTCCCTCCCTCCTCCCCCCTCGCTGCTCCCCTCGCGCTCCCCCCTCACTCTTCGCCCTCCTCGGCCCCCTCCCTGCCCCTCTCGCCTCTCCCCTCCCTCCTCCCACCTCGACCTCCTCGCCCTCCCGCTTCCCCCCCCCCCCCCCTCGCCTCGCCCGGGGGGCAGGCGCGGAGTCCGCGATGCCGGGCCTGCTGCTGCGCCCCTTCGCCAGCCTGGAGACGGTGCCCCCCCCACGCGCTGGGAGGGTCGGAGGGGTCGTCTAACTACCAGTATCGTCTAACTATCCGATCCCCATCCCCATCCCCGTCGAGACCCCCGCCGAATTACCCCCCCAGAAGGGGATACACCCCTCGAAACCCAAAGGGAACGGCCTATATCCCCATCTAGAGGGGTAAATCGGCCAGTGGGGCCCAGGCCACGCCGCTGGGGATGGGGATAGGATAAACGATACTCAGTATAGGAGGAGTGGGGAAGGCTTCGTGTAAGCACCCCTGCTTCTTAGATATGGAGGTCGGAACGGCGTGTGGCACAAAGGGGTGTGGTGCCAATCGTGGAAAGGCGATGCTGTCTACGAGAAATAACCCCGCCACATCGAGCATTGGCACCATACCCCTTTAAACCAAATCCCTTTCCCCCAGATTAGAAGGCACGGGCCTTACCTGTTGATGCAAGGCTGGTGTCTTCCAGAAGCGGTCTCTTTCTAAGAAGCCTTCCACCCTCACCCATACCCCTCTCTGCGCGCCGCCAGGTTTAATGTATACACGCCAGTCGTTGAAAACATGTATTTCTGGACTTCCAGATTCCACTCTACTTCAAGCGCCTTCCTACTTCAAGCATCGATGTGTGCTTGCTGTGCGTTGTTGCTCTTTGGGCTGGCTCGAACCCACTCTGGTTTATCCGCCCTCCTTCGTGTTTCCACCTACTTCTTCCGACTGGTGGGTAAGCCACGTCGCCTGGTCGGCTAAGGAGCCAATGAGTTCGGCGGAAGGCATCGGTACATGGACGCTCCAGCATCGCACAGCTCGGGAAACGTCGGCGTCTATACACCGAGCCTTCTGGCCGATTGGACGACCCGGCCCCGTGTGCACTTCGAGTTCCTCCCATTCACGGAGGCGTTTTGTCGTGGCGTTGTCCGTTCCCTCTCTTCTTTCCGGTTGTATGACTTGCCGTCGCATACTTGACACACCTTTTCCTTTCTGGCGCCGATGCAAAGCAAACAAAAGAAACACTTCGAGCTCCTCCCAAGCAGGGGGGCGGGGTGGTGGCCTCCGGGGGAACCTGGGGTCCCCGGAGACCTCGTGCAGCCTCTGCCTCTGCAGAGGGGGGTGGGGCGTGGAGGACATGGAGAGCACCGCTGCCTCCAGGCAGGGAAGGTCTTCGGCAAGAACGACATGGGTACGGAAAGAATGGGTACGATGCCCAGCAGCAGTTCCGGTTCATTTTGAACAGGGCTCGCTCGTCCATTGGGCCAGAAGGCGCCTGACCAAGGGCGGTCGCTGTCAGTTTTAGATTACAATTGTTGTCGGGCATCGTGCCCGCTGTTTCCGTACCCATTCCGGGCGTCCACAAGGGAGGCGTGGGAGGCGGAGGGGAGTTGTGGGGTGAAGGTTGACGGATGGGGGAGAGCGTCGTCACCGATCCGGGCCCGTTTGCCCCACACGGCAGAAGCGTCCAGTTTCTCCATCGGGGGCATATCCGCGATCCATCGGCAACGTTCCCCCTCCTCGCTCCTCCTCGCTCCTCCTCGTTCCTCCTCGCTCCTGCTCGCTCCTCGCTCTTCCTCCTCCTCGCTCCTCCTCCCTCCTCGCTCCTCTTCATACTCATCCACGCTGCTGCTGCTGCTGCTCCTCCTTGTCACTCCACGCTCTTTCTCCTTCGTCCTTGCTCCTCCTCCCCTCTCCTCGCTCCTCGCTCCTGGCTCCTCCTCGCTCCTCCTCTTCATCCTCCTTCTCCCCCATCGTTCCTCGCTCCCCGCCCCTCCTTCCTCTTTGCTTCTGGCTCCGCGCTCCTGGCTCCTCACTCCTCTTCTTCTTTCTCCCATTCCTTTTACTTCTCGTCCTCCTCGCTCCCCGCTCCTCCCTCCTCCTCCTCCTCCTCCTCCTCCTCCTCTTCCCCCTCCTCCTCCTCCTCCTCCTCAAAGGTGGGCGAGGAGGGGAGACGGTTGCTCTACGCTATGTATTGCCGCCCTTTTGAGACGGGCATCTTGCCGCCCTAGTTTAACTAGTGCCTGGCCGTATTTATTCCGAAGGGGGAGGAGGAACGTGATCGTGAGGGAGTATCCCGCCTTCCTGCCAATACTCGCCCCACCTCCTCCTCCAACTCGTGCAACAAGATTATTGCGGGGGCCATCGCACTTCCGCTTGCAAGAGTTGCCGTTCAAGGTGTTGCCCCGTTACAAAGGGGATTCGTTCCTGGGCGGAACATCGTTGACAATGTTCTCGACCTTGAGGCGCTGCTTCTCGAGCATGGCACTATCTATGGTGAGCGGAGGACAGGGATATGTTTATGTGATGTCAAAGCTGCGTTTCCATCGGTTCTTCACAGCTGGATTCTTATTGTTTTGGAGAGGATGGGACTTCCGCATGCTCTTACTCGTGCTGTTCGCGCACTGTATTTCTCGATCGCGGTGCGAGTCTCGTTGAACGGCTGTCGCGATTATCCCTTTCAGCTGGAGAGAGGAATCAAACATGAGTGCCCCCTGGGCGGAGTCATTTTTGCGTTAGCTTTTGATCCGATACTACGCAATATGGAAGCGAGCATCCCTGTACCCAGTGCGCTGCGTGCATTTGCAGACGATGTGGGGCTGGCCAGCTCTGATCTATACCAGTGCCTGCCGCCCGTCTAACGTGCGTGGGTCCTCGCTGCAGGAGCTGCAGGCCTGGTACTAAGCCTTCCCAAGAACGAATTGTGTTTTTTGTTTCCCCAACGTGGTATTCATGGATCGTTTCGGGTTCTTGGGGGACGTACCCGTCGCTCCAAGTTCTGCAACTACGTCAAATACGTAGGTGTCTGGATTGCGTCCTGGAGGCCTCCTGGGCAGTCTTGGGGGCGTCAAGGCGTTTTGGACCGATCGTTTGGCGATTGGGGACCCTCTTGGACCGTCTCGGGGGCCTCTTGGGGCACTCTGGGCCTGTCTTGGTATGTTTTAAGGGCCCCAGGACCCCAAGGGGTGGATGCGTATACGGAGACGACGACTCGAACAAACAAGCTCCTCACACACGCCTACAGGGTCGGTGGATTATGTTTTGTATGTTGTTGTTGTTGGTGGTTGTGTTGTGTTTGTTGTTGTTGCTGTAGTTGTTGTTGCTGTCGTTGGTGGTGTTGTTGTTGGTGTTGTTGTTGTCCGGTAAGGCGTTGACGCCGGCCCCGGCTTGATGTTGAGATCTTCATCTTCTCTCAAAACTCCAGTGCTTCTCCTGAAGGGTAAGCAAAGCTCCAGCAACCGAGGGCTGGCCCCACGGGGCTGGAGAAGGGGTTGGCACTGGGGCGGCAGCGCAAGGTGCCCCATGGGGCCGGAGAAGGGGTCGGCATTCCTGGCGCGTTTCCAGAGGTTTCCCCTCGGATTTCCGCGAATCTCTCAAGATTCCTTTCGATTCCTGAGGACCCCTCCGGACTCTCTCGGATCTCCAAGGGTTCTTTATAGGACCCCCCAAGATTCTTCGGGATTCCTCAGGAGTCATCCCGCGGGACCCCCGAGGATTCTTCAGGATCCTCCAGGATTTCTCAGGCTCCTTCCGGAGTCAGCAGGACTCCTGATCAGGATCCCCCCGGAATCTATGGGATCCCAAATGATTATTCAGGATCCCCCCATGGGGTTCTCAGGATCCCGTTGGGCTCCTCAGGATTCTTCAGGATATCTTATGATTTTTCAGGGTTTCAGGATTCATCAGGATCCATGATGTCTCCTGAGGACGCCTACGGACTCCTTCGGATTCTCCATGGTTCCTCAGGATCCCATTCGGGTACCCCTCAGGATTCCTTAGCTAAAGACAAGGATTCCTCAGGATCCCCAAGGCTTCTTCTGGATTCATGTTGTAGATTGTATTTGCTGGGGTCAGGGACCCCCGTGTGCAGGAGTCAGCATGTTAGGGCAGAGAAGGAGCAAGCACTGCAGGTCCTTTGGCTTCGAGGGTTGAGAGGAAAAGCCTCGATATTGCTACATGGTAGCGGAGCTCGGTTCCTGTGCCCACGGGAGCTGAGCTCGCTCGCCGCGCCCAGACCTCCTGCCCGTGCTGGCGGAGATGGCGGCGATCGATGTCGTCGACGTTCGGACCGACATGAGGCTTCAGAGGTTCGACGGTACGGACGAGAGATGGGCAGACTGGAGCCTCAGGTTCGAGGCCTACACCGCGCTGCTTGGCATGGAGGACCTCATGACGGAGGCGGCCAACAGGCGCGACCCACTGGCAACGGACCAGCTGGGGGACCAGGCGAGAGCGGTCAGCCAGAGGCTCTGGCACCTGCTGATCACGTGGTGCGACGGCAAGTCGCTGGGTGTGGTCAAGCTCTCGAGGAAGAATGGCCTGGAGGCGTGGCGGCAGCTCAAGATCGAGTATGAGAGCAAGTCGGGCAACAGGTGGACGGCCATGCTGCGCTTCATCCTGAACCCTCAGGACAAGTGGGCGAAGGATCGGGAGTCGGGCATCGACTTCTTTCAGTCTCTCACGGCGTGGGAGGCCATCGTCGCAGAGTACGTGGACCAGAGCGGCGAGGCGGTCTCGGACAACGTTCGAGTCAGCGTGCTGCTAGAGCACGCGCCAGAGCCGTACCGTGAGGTCCTTCGGCAGGCGCCTGAGGAGGTGAAGCTCACGTTCGCAGCGGCTCGGAGTCACATCAGGGGCTACTACAATCAAGGGCGGACGTTCACCCACGTCCCAGACACTGGCGGGGTCGTGCCGATGCAGGTGGATGCAGTTCGAGTTGGACCGCATGGCGGCAAGTCGCACGGGAAGTCGGGCAAGACAGGCAAGATGGACAAGTCAGGGAAGGCTGGCAAGAATGTGAAGGGCTGCAAGGACTCGAAGACGAAGTCCAAGAACCGCGACGGCAAGCAGGGCCATGGCAAGGGCCAGTCCGACTACTTCGACGGCGAGTGTGGCTACTGCGGCAAGTGGGGCCACAAGCGGGCCGACTGCAGGAAGAAGAGGGCAGATGAGGCCAAGAAGGAGACTGGCAACACGCGCGCGGTTCAGGGAGATGGATCGGCCTCGAGCTCGGGACA